TGTCATAGAGAGTTCATATTATTTTGAGGTATGTTCCGTGAATACCTAGTTTATTGAGAGTTTTTAACATGAAGGGATGTTGAATTTGATCGAAGGCTTTTTCTGCGTCTATTGAGATAATCATGTGGTTTTTGTCTTTAAATCTGTTTATGTGATGAATTATGTTTATCGATTTTTGTATGTTGAACCAGCCTTGCATCCTGGGAATAAAGCTGACTTGATTGTGGTGGATAAGCTTTTTGATATGTTGCTGGATTCAGTTTGCAAGTATTTTATTGAGAATTTTTGTACTGATGTTTATCAGGGATATTGGCTTGAAGGCTTTTTTGTTTGTTTTCTTCTGTTTTTTTGTTGTATATCTGCCAGGTCTTGATATCAGGATGATGCTGGTCTCATAGAATGAGTTAAGGAGAGGCCCCTCCATTTCTGTCATTTGGAATAGTTTCAGAAGAAATGGTACCAGATCTTCTTTGTACCTCTGGTAGAATTCAGCTATAAATTCATCCGGTCCTGGACTTTTTATGGTTGGTAGGCTATTGACTATTTGTTACCGCCTGTATTTCAGAACTTGTTATTGGTCTTTTCAGGGATTCAATTTCTTCCTGTTCAGACTTGAAAGGATGGATGTGTCCAGGAATTTATCCATTTCTTCTAGGTTTTCCAGTTTTTGTGCATAGAGGTGTTTGTAGTACTTTCCAAAGGTTGTTTTTATTTCTATGGGGTCAATGGTGATATCCCTTTTATCATTTTTTATTGTCTATTTCATTCATCTCTATTTTCTTTATTAGTCTAGCTAGCATCTATTTTATTAATTTTGTCAAAATAACATCTCCTGGATTCATTGATTTTTTTTTTTTTTTTGAAGGGTTTTTTTGTGTCTCTGTGTCCTTCATTTCCAGTCTGAATCTGGTTATTTCTTATCTTCTGCTAGTAAGGTTTGTTTGCTCTTGGTTTTCTCGTTCCTTTAGTTGTGATGTTAGGGTGTCCATTTGAGGTCTTTCTGGCTTTTTCATTTGGGTATTTAGTGTTATAAATTTCCCCATTAACACTGCTTTAGCTGTGTGCCAGAGATTCTGGTACATTGTCTCTTCATTCTCATTGGTTTTAAATAATTTTTTGATTTCTGATTTTTTTTTTTTTTTTTTTTTTTTTTTGAGACAGAGTTCTTCTCTTGTCACCCAGGCTGGAGTGCAGTGGCACGATCTCGGCTCACTGCAACCTCCGCCACCCAGGTTCAAGTGAGTCTCCTGCCTCAGCCTCCCGAGTAGCTGGGATTACAGGCACCCACCACCACGCCCGGCTAATATTTTGTATTTTTAGCAGAGATGGTATGTTTCACCATGTTTGCCAGGCTGGTCTCGAATCCTGACCTCTAGTGATCCACCCACCTTGGCCTCTAACTGAGACCATCCTGGCCAACATGGTGAAACCTCATTTCTACTAAAAATACAAAAAATTAGCCGGGTGTGGTGATGCATGCCTGTAGTTTCAGCTACTCGGGTGGCTGAGGCAGGAGAATCACTTGAAGCCAGGAGGCAGAGGTTGCAGCGAGCCAAGATTGCACTACTGCACTCCAGCCTGGCGACAGAGCCAGACTCTGTTTCAAAAAAAAAAGTGCTGGGATTACTGAGCCATCACATGCCTGGTGAGTTTCTTACTCTTTAGTTTTAATTTGATTTCATTGCAGTCTGAGAGAATGTTATGATATCAGTTCTTTTGCATTTGCTGAGAAGTGTTTCACTTCCAATTATGTTATCAATTTTTTTCTTTTCTTTCTTGTTTTTTTTTTGTCTTAAGAGTCTCACTCTGTTGCCCAGGCTGGAGTGCAATAGCACGATCTCAGCTCACTGCAACCTCCACCTCCCGGGTTCAAGCCATTCTCCTGTCTCAGCCTCTTGAGTAGCTGGGATTACAGGCGCATGCTGCCACGCCTGGCTAATTTTTTGTATTTTTAGTAGAGATGGGGTTTCACCATGTTCCCCAGGCTGGACTTGAACTCCTGAGCTCAGGCAATCCACCCACCTTGGCCTCCGAAAGTGCTAGGATTACAAGGTGAGCCACCATGCCCAGCCATGTGATCAATTTTAGAGTAAGTGCCATGTGGAACTTAGAAGAATGTGCATTGTGTTGTTTGTGGCTGAGTTCAAGCCTTGTTACTTTTCTGTCTCAATGATCTGTCTAATATTAACAGAGGGGCATTAAAGTCTCTCACTATTATTATATAGAAGTCTAAGTCTCTTTATAGTTCTCTAAGAATGTGTTTTATGAATCCGGGTGCTCCTTGAATTGATCTCTTTACTATTATGTAATGCACTTCTTTGTCTTTTTTGACCTTTGTTGATTTAAAGTTTGTTTTGTCAGAAACTATGATTGCAGGCCGGGCGTGGTGGCTCACACCTGTAATCCCAGCACTTTGGGAGGCCAAGGCAGGCAGATCGTGAGGTCAGGAGATCGAGACCATCCTGGCTAACACAGTGAAACCCTGTCTCTACTAAAAATACAAAAAATTACCTGAGAGTGGCGGCGGGCGCCTGTAGTCCCAGCTACTCGGGAGGCTGAGGCAGGAGAATGGTATGAACCCAGGAGGCGGAACTTGCAGTGAGCTGAGATCGCACCACTGCACTCCACCTGGGCAACAGAGTGAGGCACCGTCTCAAAAATAAAAAAGGAACTATGATTGCAACCCCTGCTTTTTTTTCTGCTTTTATGTGCTTTGTCAATTTTCCTCCATTCCTTTACTTTGAGCCTACACTTGTCTTTTTATGTGAAATAGGTCTCTTGAATACAGCACACAAATGGGTCATGACTCTATCCAGCTTGCCCTTCTGTGTCTTTCAATTGAGGCATTCAACCTATTACATTTAAGGTTAATATTGTTATGTGTGATTTTGATTCTATCCAAGTGGTGCTAGCTGCTTATTTTGCAGAGTCATTGATGTAGTTGTTTTATAGCATCGTTCATCTTTGTACTTCACTGTGTTTTTGCAGTGACTGGTAATGGTTTTTCTCTTTCCATATTTATTCCTTCTTTCATAGCTCTATCTAGTAAGGCAGGCCTGGTGGTCATGTATTCCTTCAGCATTTGCTTCTCTGAAAAGAATTTTATTTTTCTCCGCTTATGAAGACTTAGTAATGTTATTTTATTGTTTTATTTGATTCTTGTATCTTTGTTCCTCATTTTCTCTTTTTCTTTGTGTCTTTTTTATACTTATCTTGATATGCTTTTACTTCTTTCTTTGTTTTGTGTATCTATACAGATATATTCTTGATGGTGTATTGGGAATTACATAAAACCTCTAAAAGCTACAACAGTGTATTTTAATCTGGTAAAAAATGAACTTCAGCTGGATTCATAAATTTTTTCTCATATCTGCCCTCAAATTTGTCATTGATGTTGCTAATCATATGTTTTGTTGTATATTCATTAACAAATGTTTATAATTATTTCTATTCTTTTACCTTTCAAATTTTAGAGAATAATTAAAAATGTTTTTGTGCCATATTATTATAATGCTAAGAAATTCCATTTTTGTGTATGTGCATTTTTTTTCCCCAGAAAATAATGTATATGATATAATTATTTATAAAATTATTTTGTTTAATCATATTATTTTCAGTAGAAGCAACTGCTTTCCGCATCTTTTATGTTTAGGGCATATGAAGTGCCAATATATTTTTTCAGAATTTGGTTGTTTTTGAAGGTTTCTTTCTTTTTATTTGGCAGGACTGTTATTATTCTGACTTGATAGCTATTTTTTTTAGGACTTTGACTATATCACACAGTTTCCTTCTAGCCTGCAAAGGTTTTGTTGACAGTTGACTATCTTATGAGACTATGCTTGTAAATGACACACCATTTTTATCTTGCAGCTCCATTCTCTTCTTGTCTGTGGCTTTTGAAATTGTGTTTATATATGTGTTTGTTATAAATATCTTTGTGTGTATCCTAATTGTTTGTTGAGCTTCTTCATTTTGACATTATTTTTTCTTTCAGAATTTTTGAGTTATATTTTCTTTTGATATTTTTTACCTTTTACAATTTTTTTTTGGATATTTTGAATATTTTTTTCTTATCTTCAGTTTTTTCTGATTTTCTGTAGTTCTCTGTATTCCTAATTTACTCATTGAGTATTCAGTTTATTTTTAATTTTTAAAATTAGTATATACTTTTTTTTGGTTTCTTTCTGACAATTTTATGTTTTTGATAGAACCATTTTGCCCTATTTTGTATTCATTGTAATCTTTGATTAAAATTCGGGCATTAAATAAAGCTACCTGACACAATTTTTATCATGTAGCTTTCTCCTGGCATAGTCTGAAAACAATTATCTCGGATCCTGGGAGATTCTCAAACATGTTCTTAGAATGTATCTTGTCTAAAATTTTGTGTTTACATTTTAGTTAAAGGAGTTTATTTCTGCTTCATCTTAATCAGTAACCATTTGCTATATCTGTTTTCTGTCTGTTGTACTGCAGTCTCTCTGCTGCTGTAACATTTACTGTTGGTCTCAGCAGACCCAAACTGTAATTCCAAAATATACCACCATTTTTTTTCAGCACTTTATGTTATGGGAGACCAGTTTCTGGAAAGGCCTCTAGTAGCAAGTAATGTAGATATATGTGCCAGTATTGTATTTGTTTACTAAAAAAGAAACCAAAAGTTAGCAATTTATGTGGAAAGGCACTATGTTATATTGGGGAGTAGGAAGAACTGTGTTGGGTAAATGTAACAGACTTTTCTTTTTCTTCTGTGTCTTTGCATTCTTGTGTACTCACCTGTGTACTCACCTGGGGAAATTTACACAGTTATTTATAAGTTTTCCTCATGTATTTTGGTCAGTATGTTTTTATTACATTTATATGTCTATGAAGGATTTAGGGCCTGTGGTATTTTATTATGGCATCTTGCTTATGTAGTTTGTATAATATAGGTTAGATTTGTAAAGTATGTTTATCAGAGTCTAGTAAATTGAATAATTTGTTGTTTTTATTTCTTTCAGCTGTGTGTTCTTATTTTACCAAAGACCTTTGGCCAGAGCAAGACATAAAAGATTCTTTCCAACAAGTGATACTGAGAAGATACAGAAAATGTGAACATGAGAATTTACAATTAAGAAAAGTTTCCACAAGTGTGGATGAGTGTAAGGTGCACAAAGAAGGTTATAATGAACTAAACCAGTGTTTGACAACTACCCAGAGCAAAATATTTCAATGTGATAAATATATAAAAGTCTTTCATGAAAATTTAAATTCAAATAGACATAAGACAAGACATACTGGAAAGAAACCTTTCAAATGTAAAAAATGTGACAAATCGTTTTGCATGCTTTTACACCTAAGTCAACATAAAAGAATTCATATTAGAGAGAATTCTTACCAATGCGAAGAATGTGACAAAGTCTTTACGCGGTTCTCAACCCTTACTAGACACAAGAGAATTCATACTGGAGAGAAACCCTTCAAATGTAAAGAATGTGGCAAAGCTTTTAAGCACTCTTCAACCCTTACTACACATAAGATGATTCATACTGGAGAGAAACCCTACAGATGTGAAGAATGTGGCAAAGCCTTCTGCCATTCCTCACACCTTACTACACATAAGATAATTCATACTGGAGAGAAACCTTACAAATGTGAAGAATGTGGCAAAGCTTTTAACCAATCCTCAAACCTTAGGAAACATAAGATAATTCATACTGGAGAGAAACTCCACAAATGTGAAGAATGTGGCAAAGCTTTTAACCGATCCTCAAACCTTACTACACATAAGAGAATTCACACTGGAGAGAGACCCTACAAATGTGAAGAATGTGGCAAAGCTTTTAACCGATCCTCAAACCTTGCTAAACATAACATAATTCATACTGGAAAGAAATCTTACAAACGTGGAGAATGTGGTAAAACCTTTAACCAGTCCTCAACTCTTACTAAACATAAGAAAATTCAGCAGGACGTGGTGGCTCACGCCTGTAATCCCAGCACATTGAGAGGACGAGGCGAGCAGATCGCAAGGTCAGGAGTTTGAGACCAGCCTGGCACATGGTGAAACCCTGTCTCTACTAAAAATACAAAAATTCGCTGGGTGTGGTGGCGGGCACCTGTAATCCCAGCTACTCAGGAGGCAGAAGCAGGAGAATCATTTGAACCCAGGAGGCACAGTTTGCAGTGAGCCAAGATCGTGCCATTCTACTCCAGCCTGGGCCACAAGGCAAGACTCTGTCGCAAAAAAAAAAAAAAAAAAAGGAAAATTCATCCCGGAAAGAAACCTCATAACTGTGAAGAATATTGCAATGCTTTCACCCAGTCCTTGAATCTTATTGAAGAAAATAATTCACACTGGAGAGAAACTCTACAAATGTGAAGAATGTGGCAAAGCCTTTAACCAGTCCTCAAACTCTTACTAAGCATTAAAAAAATTCATACTGTACAGAAACCCTATGAGGGTGAAAAACATGGCAAAGCCTTTAACAAGCTTTCAATTCTTAACAGACATAAGATAATTTATACTGGAAAGAAATTCTACAAACAAGAAAGATGTGACAATGCTTTTGACAACACCTCAAACTTTTCTAACCATAAAAGAAATTATGCTGGTGAGAAATCTTAGAAATCTGAAGAATGAGACAAAGCCTTTAAATGGTTGTCACATTTGATTGTAGGTAAGATAATTCATACTAGAGAAAACACCTACATGTGTGAACAATGTGGCAAAACTTAACCAATGCTCACACCTTATTGCACAGGAAAGCATTTATACTTGAGATAAATTATGCAAACATAAAGACTGAAAAAGTCATTAATATATGTTCATGTCTTAACACTAGAGAGTTCATACTTAATAAAATCATTATATGTACAATTACTGTCAAAAGATCTTTCAGAAAATACAAGCTTTTGACTAGGCACGGTGGCTCAGGCCTGTAATCCCAACACTTTGGTAGGCCAAGGCAGGTGGATCACGAGGTCAGGAGTTTGAGACCAGCCTATCCAAGATACTGAAACCCCATCTCTACTAAAAATATAACAATTAGCCGGGCATGGTTGTGATGCCTGTAATCCTAGCTACTCAAGAGGCTGAGGCAGGAGAATCACTTGAACTCAGGGAGGGAGAGGTTGCAGTGAGCTGAGATTACACCACTGCACTCTAGCCTGGGCCACAGAGCAAGACAACATCAATAAAAAAAAGAAAAGAAAATACAAACTTTTACAGTGAAGAGTATTTATTTTGAAGATGAACATTACAAATATAAAGAGGGTTGTAGTGCCTTTATTTGTTTCATAGATCTTATTGTAGACATTTTTTGTAGAGGAAAAACTCTGAAGCAGTTTCTCACACATTGTTCAATATCAGGGAATTCATGTTGAAGAAAAATCGTGCAAATATGTGATAAATTTGGAAAAACACTCTTTCAAAAACTACAGCTTAGAAAACGAGAGTCCATGGCTGGGCGTGGTGGCTCACGCCTGTAATCCCAGCACTTTGGGAGGTCGAGGCAAGCAGATCACGAGGTCAGGAGATCAAGATCATCCTGGCTAACATGGTGAAACCCCGTCTCTACCAAAAAATACAAAAAATTAACTGAGTGTGGTGGCGGGCACCTGTAGTCCCAGCTACTCGGGAGGCTGAGGCAGGAGAATGGTGTGAACCAGGGAGGCAGAGCTTGCAGTGAGCCGAGATTGCACCACTGCACTCCAGCCTGGGCAACAGAGCGAGACTCTGTCTCAAAAAAAAAAAAAAAAAGAAAACAATAAATTCATCACATCGATTCTAAGTAACATTAAACATGTTTTATTAAACATCGTGATTTTAATTTTTAAAAGATGAGATTTGTCACTTCTGTCAAAATACCTACCTTGGAAAAAAGAAAATAGGATGCAGGAAAACATCAAGTGGCAATTGTTGCTACATAGCTAGAAGGCTACATATGTTTCAGTTATTAGACAACCATTTTGATACTCTGTGGCTTTTAAAAAGATTACTGCCCCTGTATTGGGACATAAATCTTAACAATACATACAATTTGACAACTTGAAATTTATTGGTATTGTTATGAGCTGTTTAACTGACAAAGTTTTACTTTGACATTTGAATAAAACATCTAATATGCAATTTGCTTAACACATACTTTGCATATCAACTGCTATAATATAAACTTTTATTGTAACAATGGGAATATAAGATATAAAGATATTTTTACATAGTAGAAGTGAACCAATGAATCCTTTAAGATGAAATGTGAAATCCTGGCAGGGAGGGGAAAAGAACAGAACATATTAACAGAATGCCCTAAGATGGTCTGGGAATACTTACCCCAAATCAATATTTCATCAAGCAGATCACATAGCAAAGCTACTAACGTTATTAAGCACTGAACCTAAGGTATGTAAATAGAGAGTAAAAATTTGTAATACGCACACACACAAAAAGTTCATACTAGAATATGTTTTTGCAGATGCAGTAAAAGTAAAAAATATTTAATCCATAATTAAGTCTGTGTAAATATCAGAATTTGTGGTAGAAATACATAAGGCACTGACGTGTCAGATATACTAAATCAGAGGGCTGAGTATAGAAAATTAAAGGTAGAAAAATTATTTGTATATGACTTTACGAGGATCAGAAGGTTTTTTGCAGTTACAATTACATTCAAAGTATACTTTATTTCTTGAAAAATATTACAGATTTTCTGAAAAGTAAATAATGATGTCATTCAACTCTGAAATAGTTTCCTGCTGTTTCTTCATTCCTATTGGATTTGTGTGTGAAAGTATGGGATCAATTGTTGCTGTATCAAAGATACGAGAAATTCTTTTTTTGTTTTGTTCTGTTTATTGAGATGGAGTTTCGCTCTTTCGCCCAGACTGGAGTGCAGTGGTGTGATCTTGGCTCACTGCAACATTCGACTTCCAGTTTCAAGCGATTCTCCTGCCTCAGCCTCCCGAGTAACTGAGATTACAGGTGCACACCACCACACCCAGCTAATTTTTGTATTTTTAGTAGAGACAGGATGTCATCGTGTTGGCCAGGCTGGTCTCGAACTCCTGACATCGTGATCCACCCACCTCGGCCTCCCGAGGTGCTGGGATTACAGGCATGAGCCACTGCTGGCAAGAGATTCTTTTTTACTAGGTGGGCATTATTTGTGATCTTTTCTATTGAAAAGTAAAGACATTAGAATGTAAGATGCATAGTGAAAATGTAAGTGGAGAGGCTCTTTGGAGTTAACTTACAATATTGAGTGATGCATGAGGTTGGTGTTCAGAGTAATTCTGCATTATGAAAAAACGTTTAATTTTTAAAATTAAATTTAGTAGTATATTATCGTACTTATTGTACTTTTATATGATAAGATGCAGTACATTTTTTAAAATTTTAGATTGTGTGAAGTTAATAGTTTACCTTAACATTTTTAACATGTTAAATACTATTGTGCATTCAATGAAGCATTTTTATACCCCAAACTTTACCCTCTTCCACCTTACTCAAGGGTGTAGGTAAAAGATGTAACAATATGCTATTTAGTAACATGATGGATTAACATCTGTAGTAATTTTTTTTTTGCCAGTGGCTTTAAACTGCAAATAAGTTAAAGAATATTTCTGTAGGTTAAATTTTTATTTTGTTTTTAATCATTTAAATTTATTTTGATTTTGGTGGGTACATGAGTATATGTGCACTATATGGCATATTTTAATACAAGAATACAATATATAATAATATCAGGGTTAAGTGAGGCATCCTTCACCTGTAACATTTCTCCTTTGTTTTACAAAGAATCCAATTCTACACTTTTTTTTTATTTTTTATTTTTATTTTTATTTATTTATTTTTTTGAGACGGCATCTCACTCTGTTGTCCTGGCTGGAGTGCAGTGGCGCCATCTCGGCTCGCTGTAAGCTTCACCTCCCGGGTTCACACCATTCTCCTGCCTCACCCTCCCAAGCAGCTGGGACTACAGGCACCCACCACCATGCCCGGCTACTTTTGTATTTTTAGTAGAGACGGGGTTTCACTGTGTTGACCAGGATAGTCTTGATCTCCTGATCTTGTGGTCCACCCACCTCAGCCTCCCAAAGTGCTGGGATTACAGGCGTGAGCCACCGTGCCCAGCCACTTTTTAAAAATTTTAAAATATACAATTAAATTGTTATTTACCATAGGGTTATTTTTATGGTTGTAATAAAAATTATATATGAGCAAAAATAAAATTCATTTCTAAACTCTTAATATTTTTTCAAATTTGCTATATATTTTTCTTTGAACATGTGGCCTGTCTGCCTGCAAACACACAGACTTTTTGATTCACATAGAGTTAAATATATATTAGTCTAAAGACAAACTTTAGATGTAAGAAAATTATGGAATAAGTGTGCGTGTGTGTGTGTGAGTTTGTAACTATTTTCAAAAGAAAAGAATAATATGGTAAATCATTTTAATAAGGTGACTACTATAAAACTAAAAACCTAAAAAATACCAAAAGCAAATGTATACTTTGTGCTTTGTATTGAATTTATTACTGTACGATCCATGACTTACAGTTCTGAATCTTTTCATGCAAACTGTCTGTATATACTTGCCTGATACTCATGCTAGACCCATACTTTGTTTCTTACATATTTTTTTGTTTTATAGTTTAGGAAGTATTATATGAACTGGTCTGTGATTATAAGAATTTTATGAAATTTAGTGCACACAAAATAATTTTTAGATGTAATTCCAAAAGTAATGTATTAAGTTACATTTTACTTAGAGCAGTTGATTTTTTTCTTTTAAGGAGAGAACAATAAGTTTTGAGTTTTCTTTAGTGATTGTTCCTTTCACTTTTTATAATTGACATGAGTATATTTATTTATTGAGTCAATTTGTTCAGGTAAGTACTAGGGATGCTTCATAAGTCATGAGGATTTTTTATATATAAATGTGGCAAACATATTACAGTTCTTACTGTGTAATCAGTGCTCCATAATAATTCATAAGTATTCCTGCTGGAGTTAGTTTGTAATTTCAACTCAGATGAAAAATATCAATGGTGAAGAAATAAGATTGATTCTTCATATGGAGTGGACCTTTTTTCCAGACTATAAAACAATTGTGCTGAATTTATAGAGAAATTCTGGCCGAGGCAGATGGATCACCTGAGGTCAGGAGTTTCAGACCAGCCTGGTGAAACCTGGTCTCTAGGAAAACTACAAAAATTAGCTGAGCGTGGTGGCATCCACCTGTAGCCCAGCTACTCAGGAGGCTTAGGCAGGAGAATTGCTTGAACCCGGGAGGCAAAGGTTGTGGTGAGCCGAGATTGTACCATTGCACTACAGCCTGGGTGACAGAGCAAGACTCCTCAGAAAAAAAAAAAAAGAGAAATTCTGCTTATTTTCTACTTCAGATACGTTTCTGTTATGTATTTTCCAACTATATGCATCACAGCTCTTCTGAATTATAGCTACAGTTTTCTCACTGTTCTCTTCACCCCGTTTGATTTCACATGGTACTTTCTAGATTTTGATGAGAAAATTCTATTTTTAGTGCGCTCAAAAATGGATTTTAACTGGAGAGTTTGCTTATCAATATAACTTTCAGATTAATTAATTAAGATAAAAGGCAGCCAGGTGTGGTGGCTCACTCCTGTAATCTCAGCACTTTGGGAGGCCCAGACAAGTGGATCACTTGAGGTCAGGAGTTCGAGACCAGCCTGATCAACATGGTGAAACCCCGTGTCCACTACAAATACAAAATTAGCCGCATGTTGTGGCTTATGCCTGTAATCCCAGCTACTTGGGAGGCTGAGGCAGGAGAATCCCTTGAACCCAGGAGGCGGAGGTTGCAGTGCGCCGAAATTGCGCCATTGCACTCCAGCCTGG